TCTTGTGCCATCATCCCACATGTGTGTTGGTTTGCGGGCCAGTTGTTCCACTTCTCATCCAACTCCCTGCTAACATCCCTGGCCTAAAAGCATAGGCCCCTGTATCCGTGTGAGACACCTTGAAGAAACTTTTAGCTCATCATGGCTTTGGCCTGACCCAGACACAGTCTGGGAGTAATCCAACAGGTGAACAACTGCTCAGTCAGCATCTCCTTGTCTCTCTGCAATGCTGCTTTCCAAATAAGCAAATCTTAAAAGGGATCGAATCATTTAAAACATGTATTTTTTTGAAAATCAGATATTAACATATAGTAAATAAATGTGGTGTTTAATATGAACAAAAAGTTGCACATTAATGTGCTTCTTGCATTTCTGAATATTTATTCACAACTAAAAGTTAAAGCATTGTTAAATCATCAGGGACTTTAACAGGACCTTTTGTATAATTAATTTTCTGTACCTACTAGGATTATCCATGATATTCAGGTATGTGGTCAAAAATGAGTCTGAATGTCGATGTGAAGCTATTCTTAAAGAAATACAGTTTTTAAAGTGGTGAACTGTGAGTAAATTAGATTAACCCCCTAACATGAATGAACCTAACCCAATCCATTGAAGGCTTGATCCCTGGAGCAGAAGATTCTTCAGAGTATTTTTGGATTGGAGCCTCAAGACTGCCTTGGATTCCAATTGTTGTACCAACTCTTCCATGGAGCAGGCTGGCTTCTGCTTTAAACTTAAACTCTGTGTTCATGAGCAGAAAGGTTCAACAATGTTGTTGTACAAGTTCTTCTTTACTTGAGTTATAGATTCAGTGCAAACCCAATGCAAATCTCATGAAGTTAATATGTGGATATCACAGAACAAAATCTAGCGTTAATTTGAGAAGGTAAAGACTCATAATAGCAACAGAATATTGGAGAAGGACAAAGTTGGGGAACCACTTCAAGACTTAGTAACACTAAATAATACAGTTTAGCATTGTTGGAAGAATAAACAAGCAGATCAGCAGAAAAAAAAAAAAACAAAAGATAACCAAAAAGGAAACTTATATGAGTATATTCAAATGATCTTTAATAAAGGAGCCAAGCAATACACTGGAGAAAGGATGGGCTTTTCAACCTAGGTTATTGGAATACCTACATATTCATATGAAAATATATATTGGATTAATGTGTACTAATAATTAATATATACTAATAGTGGCAAGCATAAAACATTAAACAATAAAAACATCTAGAAGATATCATACAAGAAAAAACAGATGTCCTTGGGATTGGATTTTTGTTTTGTTGTTTAGTAATTAATTAAATAGATAAGCAGAGTTACAGTGATACAGAGAGAATCTGTGGTGTACTGATTCACTCCCCAAATGGAAGCAACAGCTGGGGATGGACAGGGCTGAAAACAACAAGCAAAAACTCATGGAAGAGAGGGAGAGAGAGAGAGAGAGAGAGAGAGAGAGAGAGAGAGAGAGAGAGAGAGAGAGAGAGACAGAGAAACTTCCATGTATTGATTGTGCTCCAAATGGGCACAATGGCACACTGCTGCACCAGGCTGAAACCAGGAGCCTGCAGCAATCTCTTAAATAGATAGCAGGGGCCCAGGTACTTGGTCCATCGTCTGTTGTTTTACAAGGCAGCTGGGAGCTGGGCCAGGGAGTTGGATTAGAAGTAGAGCAGCAGGGACTCAAAAGAGTTCTCTGAGACAAGAATAGATGGGGTACAGAGGATTTGGGGGGCAGTGGAATTATTTTGTAATGCACTGTAATATGTGGGTATATGTCATTATTCTTCTCAAAACCAACAGAATGTATAACATCAAAATTAAATCATAATATAAACCATGAACTGTTAGTAAAAATTAAGCATTGATACAGATATATTGATTTTGAAAAAACGGAATGCTTGGATGATTTGGTAATGGCATCCACGGTATTCTGCTCACTTTTGCTGCAAACATAACACTGGTGTAAAAAAAATTAGTCCATTGGAAATATGGGTTGTTTAAATCCTCACTATGAGATTGTAAGTATGTATCTATTTCTTGCCACTGAATTTGAGGAGACAGCCAGCAATCAAAGCACACATCTATATCATATCAAATGATAAAGCAGTAAGTTCAAGCCAGCTGCCATTACTTGCATTGCTTATTTATAGAGTACTATGTAATGGTAGAATTGTGCTGAATAAAAACAAATCACCTCTGTTTATTAAGTAACTTAAAATTTAAAGATAGAATGCAAATTTTGAAATGGGCATTGTAATAGAATGAAGCTATTCAAAAGACATGTTGTGTGACCAACATTTCTTATCTAATACTCATGTCTTCCCTTTGACCTAAGTGTTGGCTTACATATATAGTTTTAATTGGCAAATTCTGATGGATGCATTTTTCATGAGTCTAATAACACCGAACAAAGGGTATTAAATTACACTCCACACATTAAATTGTTTTAATAGCGCGAGTGAGATCCCTTGAGTCTCATCAGACCTTAATCAATCATGCAGAATGATTCACTTCAACCCAGAAATTTCTGTACTTAATCATTTCAACAGAAAGGGCAGCCTTGCACATTTGGAGAAGTTCATCGTTTTCTATTTTAGAGATCTGGGTTGTATCTATATCCATGACTAGTTCCTGGAATGCTTTCGTCCTGTCCTTTGGTTTATTCTGTGCTGCTTGGCCCAGGTCCATTGCCTCTCCTAAAGTCGTTGAAAAGGTAATACGAGAACTAAACACACTTTCCTCTTGAAAATTTTCTTGATTTCCCTTTTGAGAAACCAGTTCTAAGCCTTGGAGCTGTTAAATGACCTGATCACCCTGAAAAGCTACACACCAGCACTTCCCCTCCCACTTCCTGCTCCTGCACTGCTGAACTCTAGCTGGAGCTCCAGGGCTCCTGTTTTATGCCTATCTGAAGTTGCACACACTTCTTCCTCAACTTGCCATAGTCTATCTTCCCTCCAACTGACTCCTGCCTGAACATTGAAAGCCCCGTGTAAGTGTTCTCTCTACCAGGAAGCTCCTCTTTTCAGCTCTAAAAGATGTCAACACTTCATTTATAGCTATTCAAATGATTCTCCAAGTTCATATTGCCAATTCCTTATTGGAAAAGTTGTCCCTTTGTGAGTGAGTGAGCATGTCTGATTGGTGAGCGGCTGCATTTAATGCATGTCTGTGTTCTTCTCTCACGCGTTGCCTGGCAATAACGAATGGATTAAACTTTACTCCAGCAGTGTAAAAGTGATATTGTAAAATCCAAAATGCTTGTTTACTTACTGCTTAAAAAAAAAAAAAATCAAGCCTTAAAGGATTTAGTCTGGTAACCACACAGCAGCCTTCTTCCCTTTTCTAGTTCCCCTTTTAACATGAATGAGAGACTGTTTTATCCTTTTGCAGGTTCTGCAAGTGGAGAAGTCAGCGTAACAGAAATATACGAACGCAAGCGGGATTTGCCTAGACATCAATAAACTCGAAAGGCTCCCAGCGGGCCACTTGCAGTGTCAATATAGGCTCATAATTACTTGCTCCTTGGAGCATTTTAGACTCAACCCCGAGTTCACTCTGCTGCAGTGAAGAAAGCTGGAGAGCTCAGAGGTTCTTAACTTCTTAAACCCTAGGCAAAGCACAGCAAGCACTGGCAGGGACCTCAGAGTCTATCAAGGGGAGGTTGTGGGCTGTTGTCCTGTTAAACCCTTACACTGAAGAGGAACTTGGTTCCCCAGGTCTCCATGGCGTCAGTACACATCCATCAGAGCGAACAAGAGTAACCCACGGGTGGAGCCTTCGTTCCGCCGGAAAGAACAAGAGGCCCAATCAGACAGAGATTCTCTGGGGTGGAGGAACCCGTGACCGGCGTGCACGTGTACCGATGGGGGATTTTTGTCTGTTGGGCATCTTGTCACGTCAGAGGCACCCACTGGCGTCCCAGCCAACCAGTTGGGGACAAAACCCAGGCGTGGCCCCTGACTCGCATGGGTACAGTCTCCCCGGAGGACCAAATGAAGTAGGAGAATTGCACTTGGAAAAGTGCCCCCCCCCCCCCAACAAAGCAGGAAAGAATTTGTGCTTCATTGCTTCCCTTCCCTCCCTCTTCTCTCAGGGGGAGGGAGAGAGAGAGAGAGAGAGAGAGAGAGAGGTGTTTGGCAATTAAGCTTCAAAGAGAAGCCTATGGTAGCTTCCGTGAGAACCCTGTTTCTCTGCAGTGAAGTTTAACTGGGATTGGAGTTTCCTTGACTTCAGCGTGAGGAATTTCCAATCCACAAGGAAAGAAATCCATTTAGACGCAAATCGAGTTCCCAGTGAAACCCCTGCCCTCCCCGGCTTCCTGCGGGATCAGGATCCAAGCAGCCATCCACCTCCAACTCTGGGCCAGCAAGTTGCTCGGTCCTTACGTGGACCTGCACTTTCCGGGCTCAGGTGCTCACCGAGTAACGAACTCTCTCCTTTGCCTGGCTTCCCGCCCCTTGCGCTCCACCTGCGGGTGCGCGTGGGTTACCGGAGACATCTGGGCACTCACGTGTTGGGCGAAATCTCTTTCAAGTAGTTGCTTGTAAACCCACCCCGGGGTCTCCGTCCCCCGGGGGCACCTCACTCCCCCCAGGCTCCATCCTAGGCATTCCTCCCGCGGGATCCGTCCCTAAGGTGTCTCCGAACGTGAGCCTCCCTCTCCACGCGGATGCTGATGGGCCAGCTTAGGGCTCCCTTCGTCGCATCCCGACAGCTGACGCTTCGCGTGTGCCTGTGTCTGTGTACGTGTCCGACGGAATGAGTGTGTGTGTGTGTGTGTGTGTGTGTGTGTGTGTGTGTGTGTGTGTGGATGTGCGACCCTGAGTCCGGGTGTGCGCGGGTGCGGGAGCGTGCACGGCTGGGAGCTTCCTCCCCTGCTCGGCGAAAAGAGCCTCCGCCCCTCCGCTCCGTGATTGGCTGCTTGGGCTCATCATTTCCCTGCTAGCAAGAGGGAAGGGCCAGTGACGCCCCCAGCCCAGCTGCAGAAGCGGCCGCCACCTCCGTTGCACAAGGTGTCTGGTCTGGCAAGCAGCTCGAGCCCCAGGGAGGCGACACGCAGAGACTCAGGCTGGGCTGGAGGAGCCACGCGGGAGGACGCCGCGCGGCGCTCCAGGACTGGAGCAGCCTGGCCTCTGAGGACCCTTAGCGACCCGATCCCGGGATCCCGCTCCACGCTCTTCTCGCGTTTCACGGATTCCCCCCACCCCGCCCCGCTGCCTGCGACCATCTCCCCAAAACGGAGCCTTCCTATCAAGAGAAGGTGCGGGAGTCGGGGCATCCAGGACTTTTCCGGACACCCAAAATGCGCTCTATTAGGAAGAGGTGGACCATCTGCACCATAAGTCTGCTACTGATATTTTATAAGACAAAAGAAATAGCAAGAACTGAGGAGCACCAGGAAACGCAACTCGCTGGGTAAATGCAAAGCTTCATTTCAGGATATGACCCAGAAAAACAAAGTCCAGTCGCGAATGAAACGGGGTCTAGATGAATAGAGCGATGACTCGGGTCGTGTGTGTGTGTGTGTGTGTGTGGTGCGCGCGCGCGTTGGAGATTGCGTTTGCTGGGTGCCCTGCGTTCAATAACAAAGGCTGCTGCCGCCGAGGTGCGTGTGCCGCCCTGCGCTGTGCGCGGCGCCGAGTTCAACTTGCCCTGTGCCGGGTGGTGACGCTTGTGCTGGCGCGAGGCTCACTCGCACGCCGAGAAGCCGCCAGCACAAGTGTCAACAAAGACCGTGCGCCCTTGTCCTTGTCATCTGCGCGGTGTTCTAGCACATGGGCGCCCTTCCTGCTTTCTAAGCCTCAGCTCTCTGGGGACGTAACAGAGAACGTGGGTTTCCTAAAAGGCTCAAGTTTAAAGTCCGAAAGCAGGAAATACATCTCTTGAGTTTCAATACTTCTTATGTATTATTATTGTTATTGTAATACACCTGAATGGCTCCGTGCACTGTGATCTGGTTTACAAACTCCAACACGACAGGACACTTCCACATTTATTCTTCCACCACTAAAACCTAGAGGTGTCACGCACGGTCCCAGTGTGAGCAAGAAACCGGGTCCTCTAGTTCGGGTGAGTTTAGAATCTTCCCCCGCCCGATAGAGTTCTCTAAATATCACACTTCCTTCCTCCCTCCCCCCTGGCCTCCGCGCCTGCCTTTGAAGTCCACTCAGGAGGCGGTGCCTTTTGGTGTGGCTCTGGCACGGCTTGCAAGCGTTTTCTGGCGGATTTGGAAACGTTTTCTAAGGATTTGTGCCGGGTTGTCAACTCTGCCCAAACTCCCCTTTAGGAGATCCTCCGCGGGCCAGGGGGAAATGCCCTCCCGGGGTTCCTTGTTTTCTGACTTGCATTCAAACGGAGATGGGGTGGCCCTGCCATTGTGTGCCGGGGCGAGTGGGTGCGCGTGAGCGCGCGCACCACAGGACTGCCGAGACACACACTCGAACTCTTCAACTTCGGGCACTCCCATTTCTCATCCAGATGCTCTTCCCTCTGTCAGGAGCCTGTGAGCAGGACGCTGGGCTGACCTTAGACAACACTCCACCATGACAACCAGGACGGTTGTGCTACCGCCGAGTGGGGCTGGGAGAGGGAACAGGAAAATCAGGATGGGACCGAATGTTTGTTAGCCATTAGCTGTGCACGGTTTATTCTGGGGCTGGAGGGGGTACCCCAACTGTGGGTGGAGGTTGGTGCAGGAATCAATGCTGTGGAATTCCAGTTTGGCACAATTGTCAGAAGACAGGAGTTTGGGCGTGGATGTGGACACCCGCGGTAAACCTGGGTTTTCCAGGCAGACAAAGGGGTCTTTGGGAAGGTGCTGAATGCGCGCGTGGGAGCTCTGGTGAGAGGCGGAGGCTGGGGCCTGAGGGTCGAGGTTCTTTGTTTCCTTCCGAGCTGGCGGGCACGGAGGATAATGACAAAGCCGCAGGTTTTGGCCGAGGTTCAGGCCAGGGTGCTGTGGACCCTGGAGAACAGGAGTGGGCGGGGCCAGTGGGAAAGGATTGGCGAGGGGGCACCGATGTCCCCGCGGTGTCCCCCTCTGTCTCGCGTTCCTGAGAGGAAAGAACAGAGCCCAGACACATCGCGTTTCTCGCGCTTGTCTCCTGTGTCCCTTTTCTGGAGGCTGTGGGCCGGTGGGCGCGGCCCCGAGCGCCAAAGAAGAACCTGGAGGTAGGCAGAGGCGCCCACCCTTGCCAGGATTTCTCCCGCGCCCTTTGCAAGCCCATCTGAGGTTTCCTCCTGGCTCCGGGCAGAAGCCGTGGGGGCAGGAGCTTGGGTTAAGTGAACAGAAAAAGAGGTGCACGTTAGGGTTATTCCTCATCCTGGGGAGAGGTGGGCAAGGGTGAGAGAAAGGGGGGGGGGGGGCAGCAAAAGCCTTTGTAGCCGGAATCAGAATTCCTCCGTTATCACTCTGGCTGCTCAGCGGGTAACTCAGCTGCTTAATTCAAGCCAGCAATGGCAGTCCAGCAGAGGTGAGGCTGAGAACTGGCACCCCAGCCCAAGAAGCACCCTGGGTGCCTTGGCCACCACCCAGCTCCTCCTGACCCCCGCAGAGTGGGCGCTGCTGTGAGCTGTGCCATGGAGCGCTCTCCGGTTTCCCGGGAGGAAGCTTTCAGCCTGTCATCTAAGCTCCGGGTTGAACTCCAGCGTGCTTCCTCAACAGTCCATGCACCGGTCTGATCTCATCATTTCCTTGGCTCTCTTTCCATCCAAGCGACGTGAAGAGGCCAGTGCTGAGCTGAGTTTAAGGAGCCTGGGGGCTTGGCCCCGCAGCCCAGACCAAGGCTGCATTTTTACAAAAGTGATGAAACCGAAGTGGTCTCTGGCCTTTGGGGGGCACTGCTTGCCTTGCGGGTGGGCAGCAGTTTCACTGAAGACCTGTCTTGGGGGCCTTTAATCTCCTAACATTCCCCCAGCCCCACATTCAACTCTACTTCTCCTGTTATTGCAATACAGACGGCCAGCTCCTTGCTCTGTTTGGCCCCCTGTGCCCTCTTGCCTGGAGGATCCAACTAGAGTTAGTGTAACTTCACTCCTCTTGTGAAAAGCCCTGAGCATTCCTCCCATTCACATTCCCAATGAGCAGGGGGAGGGCGCCAGCAGAAAAATTTCCAAATTCCCGTTTTTCAATTACAATAAAGAATTACTCTAATGTAAGTGAATTAATAATTCTTGGATCTGAAAGTAGTTATTCTTTACAAGAAAACACACCAATTGCCTCTAATCCTGCCTTAAGAGTATTTCAAATGCTACTCAGACTATTAAGTGGTCTATTCGTGTTATTTATTTGTTTATTTATTTATTTATTTATTCATACTGGAAAGGCAGCTTCACAGAGAGTAAGAAATACAGGAGAAAGATTTTTCCATCCTCTGGGTTCACTCCCCAAGTGGCTGCAGTGGTCAGTGCTGAGTCCATCTGAAACCAGGAGCCAGGAGCTTCTTCTGGGTCCCCCACGTGGGTGCAGCGTCCCAAAACTTTGGGCAGCCTTAGACTGCCCTCCCAGGCCACAAGCAGGGAGCTGGATAGCAAGAGAAGCAGCAGGGATATGTACTGGCATCCATATGGGATCCCTAGACATGAGGGCAAGGACTTAAGCCACTAGGCTACCGCACCTGGGGTCTGATTTTTAGTTAATGAGCCCACCAATTGACTTAAAATTTTTCTGGGTCTGTATGATCTTTTGGGCTTCAGGGGAAATGTATCTTAAGGCTGCCATAGGGAGAACATTGAGTTATTCTCATTTAATGTAACCTAAGTTACATGAAGCACAAAAGAAACTCTGATGACATACAAATGTTTGTTTTATTATTTTTCAAAGCTCTTTACACACCCCCCACTATGAACCACAAATAATAAAGATTTCAGCATATTTTTCTTATTATCCAGTACTTTAATTCAACTAGTACTTTATGTTCCCTGATAAATGATACATAGTACTAGTTCTGCACTTATGATCAAATCAGCAGCAAGGAACTCCATGGCTGTTGCCAGCAACTCATTTGATGGGAAAATACACCTCTTTCCATCAAGAATTCCAGAATTTATTCTTTGTTTCATGTTACATTTGCAGTGCTAGCTGAAGTTCTGAGTAAAAGTTGAAGGTGTGACTCTTTAGCTTTAAACCTTTTGCATGTAAGTAATGGAAATGCACAAATATCTGCTACTTGTGCTAGGCTTTGACTGAGAGTAACTTCTTCTTTTTAAATTCTTGTATAAAGAAGCACGGGTAACATGGTCCAACAGGGCCACAGTCATTGGAAAGCCAAGTTTCAGAGGAGTTCAATGAAGGAGTTTTAGGAACAAACTTCATGAAGTGAAATTAATCATACTTATTATTAATACAGAACTGATAATATAAAGTGTGGCAAAACCTGGAAACTCACATGTCATGTATGTGTAGATACAAGGTAATGCTCACTGGGTATTGATCACTATCAAGCTAATGACTGTCCTGGGACTGATATCGCATGGATGATCAACTCACTGAATTTCTCTCAATACCATGTAATGAGGAATGCTTTATATTGCCGTTAGACTGAATGGTGTGTTTGATATACTTTGTTATTTTCTGTTTAGAAATACTTGATGAGTATTCTTGTAGCAAGCTCTGTGTAAGAAACTCCTTTTGGTGCAGCTGTCCAGAAGTCAAGAGCTGTCTGGAATGAGAAATAAGTAGGGGTGGGAACATCCTTCATGCCTTGCATTCATGGGAAGGAAAAGCATTTTCTAAATCAGAAGGCTACCAAGGTCAAGTATGAAAAATCCCTGGGGATCCACTGAACTCTGTACAAAGAAATCTCCTCCGGAGTCTCACGTGACGCTGAGCCCGGCCTCTTCCCACATGAATTCATGAATTCTGTGGATATCAGAAATAGCAGTATGACGAGATGGAAGTACTTCTATTTCAAGTACTCTCCAATGATAAAAAAAAGTCTGAAATATGACCCATCATCATATTAGTGCAATCAACACGAAAGACAGAACAACATGGTGGTGTTTTTTTTTTTCTTCTCTTATAAAAGCTATTTTAGGGACCAGCATTGCTGTACAATGGGATGAACAGTGCAGGCGCTTTATTGGGTACAGTTTGAAGTCCTTCCTGATTGTTGTACTTCCAATCCAGCTCTCTACTAACGCATCTTAGAAAGCAATGTAAAGCAGCCTAAGTCCTTGGACCCCCGCATCCGTGCTGAGTGGGGTTAAAGCACGTGTGTTCGGACTGACCCAGCCATGGCTGTTGAAGAAATATATGAAATAAACCAATGGATAGATCTTCCTGCCCCATTCTCTTTCTCTCTCTTCCCCTGTATCTCTGCTTTTTCAAATAAAAATAAGTAAACCTTAAAAAAAAAAAACTTCTTAAAGCACATTTTAAAACATCTTGGAAGTTCTCAAAAGGTTCCCTGCAACTAAGTGCATCATAGTGGTCATTCTGGCAGTAGAAATGGATGTCCATGTCAATAAGTGAAGCTTCCAGAAATGAAAAAAAAAAATTCTGGCCAATCAGTACATCTGTTTATCATATGAAATGTTGCTAGTAGTGGAAGTAATTTGTAATCATGGAAATGTGGGGTTGGGAAAGGGTGATACTGACAGACCAAATATTAGTGGAATGAAGTTTAAAAGGATCTCACCACCCTTCCAGAGAGGTGAGGGTATTTTGTATGTGTTTTCTTGAAGGTATATTTTTCTTATATAACTACATACAAGTGAAATAATTTCAGAAGCTAAACTTTATGTTTTGATTTGTATATAGTTATTATATATCATTATATGTAATATACTATGTTATATATGTATATAAATGTGATGTGTGTGTATATATATATACATATATATATAGAGAGAATTTATTTCTAGGCCACTGAGAGGTTAAAAAAATTATACTCTGTGTTTCTTTGTGTCCTTGGTGACCTTTATGAAATTCTTCTTATTATTCATGCAAAAGTATGCAAATGTATACTTTTTCTATCAGTAGAACAGTTCAAAAACACTAATTTCACGAAGTCCTGAATTCCACAGAGGGAAAATACATATGATCCTTTGCACTGCTTCAAATTTAAACTACATATTTAAAAGAGACTGCAAACCAAAATACCACAGTCTAAGCCTCCAATTGCAGAATTTATCCAACAGCTGTTACACAAGTCAAGTTTCCTTTGATAGTAGGAGAGGATTGCCCACAGAATAAACACAGATTTAAACAACTTGATGGAGCAGAGAGTTATGCTTCTTTTTAACTTTTAAGAGCTGGGAAATTTATAGATTGAGGTGTAACAAATTAGATGAACATGTGTGTGGGGGGCTGCGTTTGTTTTGGTGTGTTGCCAAGAAGTGTCTTTTTGATTCCCTCAGTGTGGGTTTATATTTATAAAATCCAGGTGAATCTTTATGAGTAGGTTCTTGCTGTAGCTAAAAAATTTTCAGCCATGTACGTGCTAATGGCATACATGACTCACAGGTGATGTCTCTCCAGTATCATTATCGCCTGCAGCACTGTCACTGCCATTCCCCAGGGTGTGCCATGGACATTGGCAGTCAGCCTTGTGCAGAGGCTAACCCTAATCCTCACGCCCATTGAATGAGTCTTCTGCCTGGCACAGTCTCTGTTCTCCCCAGTAACAACTGTCAGGAAATTGTCTCATTGTTGAGATGTTTTAAGACCCACATTGTTTTTAAAATTAGCACTTGAATAGTGTTTTGAAAATTACTTTCCTGTACAGAATCCCACTTATCTTCATGAATTCATTGAGTATTAGCAATGTAATTTTAATTTTCCAGGTAAAGTAAGGCCATGCAGAAGTGAAAAGGAAGATTTTAAACACAAGGAGAGCAAGTCATAGAACCATGTACACCCCCAGAATGCCTGAAACCCTGAAGTTATATTACTTCAGCACGGAAGTTGCTTTTTTTTTTCTGTTATGTATGCTTGTGTTCATGTGTTCCTTCTAAAAATAGCATTAATTTTGGAAGTCACAACTTTAGAGAGGCAGGTTTATTTATCAAAAATCCTGCGCCTATTTTGTAAACAAAAGTTAATGGGAGTTCTGTTTTCCTTTATGTATCACAGAATCTATTTCTTCATATGAAAATCTTTTTCTAAGAAGCAATAAATCTAGATGTCTGTCCTCATATATCGTTTTTCTTAATCCTCATAAATGTTTCATCATGCTTATACCTTCTGATATGGAGAAAAATGTACTTGCAATTTTTCACCAATAATCTGAACACAATTATGCGTTGTCCTACATGGAAAAAGTGCTTCTTGTTGTGACAAAGCCTACGTTTTTGTTTTCTTTCAGAGATGGAGACTTGTGTTTGAGCCGATCACTTGTCAATACCACTGATAAAGTCACTCGGAAGGCTGGTTCAACAATCTTTCAGCACTCTGTAGAAGGCTGGAAAATCAATTCTTCTTTAGTTGTGGAGATAAGGTGGGTTTTCTGAATACGGCATAGTAAGTTTTACGTGCTGGACTCAGATAAGTTGGGCTTGGCAACTTGATTTCAAGTTGAAATAGAAACACTTTCATGAAAAAGAGAACTACCTGTGATGTTCTTCACCAAGGAACAGGGAACTAACAAACTGAAATCACTGTACAGTTAGTTTAAGAATAAATAGAGAAATCTTTATTGTTTGAAGGCACTATCCTTATCCTAATGGGATAAGATATCCAACTCAGTAATATGATCTAATGTATTTTATTCAGTTGCTGAGAATGGATATATAATTTGTGATGTTTTCATATTGAGACTTAATTTGAATGACTGTTTCCTCAGATGGAGCAGAAGCTACTCAACATCTATTTTGTGGAAAATATAAATTTGACTATACTTTTGAATGAGCTCATATAAAAATAAAGGCATAAAACACATTTCCTAAACAGCCACATTATTTTACAAGACAAGATATCTTTTTTTAAATTATTTATTTTTATTGGAAAGACAGACATACAGAGAGGAAGAGAGACAAAGAGGAAGATCTTCCGTCTGATGATTCACTCTACAAATGGCCACCATGGCCGGTGCTGCGCTGATCAGAAGCCAGGAGCCTGGATCTTTTTCTGGGTCTGCCAAGCGGGTGCAGGGTACCAACACTTTGGGCTTTCCTCAACTGGTTTCTCAGGCCACAAGCAGGGAGCTGGATGGGAAGTGGAGCTGCCGGGATTAGAACCGGTGCCCATATGGGATCCTGGCATGTTCAAGGCGAGGGCTTTAGCCACTAGAACACTGTGCTGGGCCCCAGACAATATATCTTAAGTGTAACAAATTATTGGAATCAAATTCAAAATCTACTTATATCCATTATGCCATTTTCTTTTACTACTCTCCTGTTATTCATAAGAAACATAGGATCATGATTCCCTAATTATGAAGGTAGCAAATCAAATCTCTTGTCTATGGCTTTATTACATTAATGTGTTCACTAATTATATATTTAAGTTAGAGCATTTTAGCAAATCAGAACTGCAGAAGTTCAGGAAAACGCTTCTTTTTCACATAATAAAGTTGATTCATTTTTCTAGTTTTCTGGCAACATGTTAATTATTTGGATGGATTTTAGGAGAGTAGTTTAGAGACTCAGAAATTTTAAAGCCTGATCAATTTGTTTTTCTACACACTTCTTGAGTTAGCTCTACACATGAGATAAACTAGAAGCAACATGAAGAGTTAATTACTCTCATTGTTGAATACATGTAACAACTCTCAAAAGCACTCACTCACTCACTGTGTATTGAACTTCACCTAGTAGAAAGCTGGCTATTAGAGAAATGCAGGAATGGCTGGATCCCATAGGATTGGAAATAACTGGGATTGGAAATAGGAATGAGACTAATGGGACCCGTTTGGTAACTCTTAGGTTAGGGTGAGCTTTCTACACCAGGGGTCTTCAAAACTAAAGAAAATATCACTTCTCAGCCTTTTGGCTAAGAATAGTATAAAACTAAAGGAAAATGTATGTTATGAAACACTACACATAAGTCCTAAAACATTTTGACATAAGTTAAACTCAAAGTTCAATCCCATTTTCTGTGATTATTTTGAAGCACTCTTGTACTGATTGTCCTAAAATAGAATGCAGTATGTGGACAGGGTGATGATAAAGTTCGTAAATCTGCTTTCTGAATAGTCCGTGACTTGAAACAAGATTTATTTCAAATGGACAGGTTTTTTTTTTTTAAAGCTGATATTAAATATCAGCTCCCCTATAAAACCATAAATATTCGGAAACTTTTTGAGTTCTGGAGATTTTGAGGAATCAATATATTTTAATACCATTTACATATTTGAAGTTATGCTTGCCCATGTGGGACTCTGACTGATGGGGGGTGGGAGATTCAGGTGGGCGGAAGGTGGCAGAGACAGAAGTTTCAGGTTTTTGGATTATTTTTCTCTTGTGTTGACAGTGAAGGATGGGAATTTAAGGTAAAGAATTCTGTATTCTCTCTGCCTTTTCATGTTTCACGAAAAATGAAACATTAAGCATTTTTTTTCTTTGTTGGTAACAAGTGAATTAATTCAAGTGAATTTGAGGGGATAGTAGAAAGTGGGGCATTTGGGATCAGTCTCTACGTTTTGCAAAACTTGACTTCTGACTTACATGTCCCACAATAACTTTGTTCATGTGTCGTATATTTCAACTATAAGATTTGTCATAGAGTGCTCTCAATGCAGTTAATAATGTCATTTAGATTGCACTTCAGTTTGTACAGCATATATGCCTGTTGACAAGAAATTTACAGAGAGCAGTGGCATGCGATGATAGGTCAGCTATATTTAACATGTCACTAGTGAAAACACCGATTAGTGCATGACTTCTCTGGGACTCAGGGCTGCTATTTGAGGTGATGGGTGAGGCTGAAAGGGAAGTTCTGGTTGAAAATTCAGTTGAAACGTTTCTGTAAAGATGCTATTCCTGTCAGTTTAACAGCTGAAACTAACCTTTCAGTTCAAGCCAACCTCGCATAACCAAACAATATTTGTATGACTAAGATTTTCAGTTTTACTGAAAGCAAAACCTCTTGAGATTCTTTCAGTTACCGTTTACGTTAAGACAGTTACCGAATTTAGGTGTTTGTTTATGTCATGCATTTTCAAAAACTGCATTAGGATCACAAGATGGCAGTTAAAGATTGATCAGGAGTCTTTTTGATTGTTGTAGCTCACTTAAGTCACAAACAACACACAAAACCCCCTGACTTGAGTATCTGGTTAGATCTTGACTTTGTGTTAGGATCAGTCTTACTCTGACCAACTGCCACTCCACATTAGCTTTGATACTTCATGGGTTTTTTTTTTCATTCCTGGAATAATTTTGCTTAACCTGTTAAAATTATATTTGCATTGATTATCTTCTAAGCCAAAGCAGAACTATTTTCTTCCTGGTACTTACTATTGTTTCAACTCAGTGTTAAACACAGTGGTTTTAAATTTCTCCAATGATGTTTTGCTAATTGTATTTCTGTACTAGTTTTTTTTAAATCACATATTTATAGTGGGAACAGCAACTAGACTTAGATGTCAGCTATATTTATAGTTGATTACAGATATAGTATTAAAAAATATCTTCAGCAGTTAGGGGAGAAGCAAATAACCTTTCAGTACTGTCTTTAAGAAGCATTAAGCACCCAAGTCACAACATTATTCACTCCGTGTAGTTAGTTTCTATCTTGTGTTCTGCAAGCTAGAATATTTTCACATATGAGACTAATGGCATAGATTTGGGGCCTGCATGGTGGCACAGTGGCCTAATTTTTCATCTTCAAGTGTTGGTGTCCCATAGGGACGCTGGTTCTAATCTTGGCTAATCCATTTCCAATAGGGCTCCTTGTTTGTGGCCTGGGAAGTTAGTTACTGGGGTGGCTTGAGTTCTAGGAAACCTGTACCCACATGGGAGACCCAAAAGAAACTCCTGCATCGAGGCTTTGGATCAACTCAGCTCTGGCAATCTCAGTCAATTGAGTATACCAGTGGATTGAAGACTTCTCTCTCTATCTCTCCTTCTCTGTAAAATCTGCCTTCCAAATAAAAAAAAAAGACTTAAGAGAATATAGATTTTAAAGAAAAAAAAAGATTTTATTTTTATTGGAAAGTCAGATGTACAGAGAAGAGACAGAGAGAAAGATCTTCCCTCTGTTGATTCACTACCTAACCGCTACAACATCCAGAGCTGAGCCAATCTGAAGGCAGGAACCCAGAGCCTCTTTTGGCTCTCCCATGTGTGTGCAGGTCCCAAGGCTTTGGGCCATCTTCAACTGCTTTCCCAGGCCACAGCAGGGAGCTGGATGGGAAATGGAGCTGATGGGATTAGAGCACCATATGGAATCCCAGCGCATGAAAGGCAAGGACTTTAGCGATTAGGCTACTGTGCTGGGCTGTAAAAGAATATAGATTTAAGATGTAAAATAGAAAATATAAGTTTGATTGAGTGTAGGAAAAAGAAAGTACTGGAGTCACTCAAGATTTCCTCTTTTACATTTTAAAAATATCTGTGTATTTTTATAAATTAGAGACAGAGTGCATGTATGAATACTTTCATGTACAGGTGCACATACCAAGTAGTCACAAAAGCTGGGCTGGTTCAGTCAGGATGAAGGTGGGAGCCTGATCCCAGTCCCAGTCCCTGGTGGGTGACAGAGGTCCAAGTGTCTCCAAAACTCAGACAATGCTACTTGGGCTGTGGGCATCTCACCAGCATCTTAACCAGGGCACCACATGCCTGGCATCCCTCTTCAGGTGTACCCGGAAAATCTCACACCAACAACTGCTCAACATTTTGTCTTAGAAGCTGTTTACAATTTTATATTTTGATTATTTTATACAAGCTATTTTTTTCTTGTTTTAAAGTATACTTTCACTAATTTCATAATTCCTTTAAAATAAACTGTTGAGGCATGATGGCTAATCCTCTGACTGCAATTGCTGGGATCCCATATGGGTGCCTATTCTGTCCTAGCTGTTCCATTTCTGTTCCAGTTTCCTGCTTGTGGCCTGAGAAAGCAGTACAGGACCACCCAAAGCCTTGAGTCCCTGAATCTACGCAAGAAAGCTGGAAGAAGCACCTGGCTAATGGCTTTGGATAAGCTTAGCTTTGGCCCTTGGGCCCATTTTGGGAGTAAGCCAGCAAATGGAGGATCTTTCTGTCTCTTATTCTTTGTATAAATCAACCTTTCCAGTAAATACTTAAATAAATGTTTTAAAATACACTGGAAAAGCAGATTTACAGAGAGGAGAGGGAGAGAGAAAGATCTTCCATCAGCTGGTTCACTCCCAACGTAGCTGCAATGACTGGAGCTAATCTGATCCAAAGCCAGGAGCTTTTGCTGGGTCTCCCACGTGGGTACAGTGTCCCAAGCCTTTGGGCCATTCTCTACTGCTTTCCAAGGCCACAGGCAGGGAACTGAAAGGGAAGTGGACCAGCTGGGATACCAACCAGCACCCATATAGGATCCCGGTGCATATAAGGCAGGACTTTAGCCACTGGACTACTGTGCCGGGCCCAATAAATAAGTCTTTAGAAAAGTAAACTTTTGAGCCTCTAATACATTAGAAGATAAATTATGCATTCATATATATGTATATTGTTAACTATATATATAGTTAACAATTTATCCCGTTAGTCACTGTTTTCTTCCAAATGTTAGACAAAATTTTTTCATAACTGAATTCTTCAGTTCTCCTTCTTAATACTATTTGCCCCTATTAATGAAGGAATAAAAGATTCTCAGTGTTACTTGGGAATTTGGAAGTTGTTAATTACGAAATTATTTTTGCTGCCAACTTTCTATAAGGCAGCCAAACCACTTTTATTGAAGTGGCCCTCTTGCTCTTAGTTGACAGACATATAACTTCTTTGACCTAGTTAAAGGCTTTTACCCTTTTGAATCACCAGGAAACAGAGTTGTTTTTAAGAGCTTGACTTTAACTGGAAGGTTTCTATTGTGATTGTAGAGCTTTAAACATGTCTATAGCAACCCATTTGAATTAGGGCCAAATTAATAGTATAATACCATCTAGTCTGATGATTTGACCACATCTGTGCATGCAATCTATTCTAAAAGCCACCTTCACTTTTTTCACAGGAAATGAACAGGTTCAGGCAATACTTGGTCTTCTTCAGAAAATAAATAATCAATGAATGTGTATAGATATTTCCATGAGACTTTGATGCGAGTGGCTAAATTTGTGAGGCATCATCGCTCTGTGCTTGGCATAATGAAAAACATTCTGGACTTCTGTTTTTCCTTTTTTGTTTTTTTAGTTCTTTGTTTAATTATCACTGTTTTATGATACAGTTTCATAGGCTCTGGGATTCCCCTTCCCTCTCCCCAAGTTCCCTTCCCCACCCCTCTTTTATTTCCCCTCCGGTATTACAATGGGTGGTCCTTCAGGAACAGTCTAAGTCCATCATGTCATGAACTTCTGCTTCTCATAAATTCTTTATTTGCCAAGTTTATTTCCAGTCTTCTCATACAATCTGCACTTTGTTAAAAACTCATGAGATGGTTCATGATATTTGTACCAGTTTTTGTGGGTTTATATATATATATATTTATATATATATATATATAGTTTATATATATATATAAAAACTATAGTAGTATATCCTTACTGGTACATCGTTGGTTTGACGAAGGTACGCAATAAACAGGCAAAACTTAGCTGCAGAAATACTAATGCACATAAGCATTTCTTTTTGTCGTTTTCTTTCAATTTTAGCTGCAAACATGTAAGGGATAACATGTAATATATGTCTTTCTGTACAGATTAACCTGATATTCAGAATATATGAGGAGAAATTCAGTCAATTAATTATTTTTAGAAAAGCCAAAAAGCTTCTCTCTTGTGGATTAAATCTACCCAAAGTTTTAAAGCTCCTGTTTTAATAATTAGGTAACACATTAAGCTGGAACCAATTAGAACAAATAAAAAAATAAACAGAAGAGCAGGTGTCACTTTCCAGCTTTCGTCACTCTTGCTGGTATGTGGGACGTATGACGTGATTCCCTGATAGCATGACGAGAGCAAGCCATAGTTTGCTCTTAGCAATATGATTTAGCAATTGGGATATAGCTTCCCTGAAAATTGTACTAGAGGAGAAATGCGTCTGTCCTATCTCAGACATTAGGGTAATGAATCATGTTAACTAGCTTGAGAAAGCAAGCTGACAAGGAGAGCTCTTAGGTAAATGGTCTTGCTTTTCACCCAGGTTTGACACTTTCTCCTATTTCGCTTGCCTGATATATGTTTGATAGCTGAAGGGTTGAGCACATGATTCCAGTATATAATCCCTCAAGCAATAAAATTCCATTATAGATATATTTGGCTGCAAGGCCATTTCCTTGTAGTTAGTTTGACGTGTCAATAACCTCTGCCAATGATTTCTTTTGAACAACATCTTTAAGCCTGTACTTAGCTCTAAATGCTCTAGCCTTTCCCTCTGTCCTTTCTATTCAATCATGGATAATTTCATTGGAATCCACACACATATTTGGAAAATCAGTATCCCTCGTTGTTGGATTAGCTCCAGTTTACAGTAGCATCTCATGAACTGGCACAGACATATAAGCGAGGTCCTGATGCCTGAACTGTCACACAGTTCAGAATACAGCTCACCCTTTTGTCTTAACTTGCCTGATTTTACCTCTTTTAGTGCTTTACAAAAGGGAGCACTACACATTGGCAACATATAGTTCTTGATCAATTGCCCAAGAGTAACATACTTATTAGACATACGATATACTTACTATCTGAATTATCATTGAGAACTTTATTAAGTGTATTGCTATACCACATAAAGGGTCACCAATTCTCCAGTATCTGTTCCTATTTCTCACTTTTCATCATCTAACTACTTAGTATATGTGTATATTTTATGTTTATAGAGCATTTACATCTATTATTAGTTTATACATTAGATGTTAAATACGCTAAGTCTCCATGAAACAACAACCTAAAGTTGTTGTTGTTAATTTATGATTTGTTATATACTTGATACACACATATCCAGTTAAAGAAAAGTAAGTCTTATGAGCAAAGCAACTGTACTTGAATTTGGGAACACAGAAATGTCCTAGTTACATCCATGAGCCCATGTAAAAGTTAAACGTTGCAAACACTAACATGAGAAAGGGAAAGAAATAATGAAGATTCTACGTATGGGACTTCTCCTCTAATATGTCTATCTCACTTCCTAGATGCTTCAGCTTAGAAAAATATGTCAATTTGCATCTAACCGCACAGCTTTAGTTCTTATTTAAATAATTATATATAATTCGTGTAAATGTGTATTTGCCAGTTACTCTTAATAGAATTATCTATGGTGTAATTCAAAACAGTTTAAATCATTTATCTCCATATTAATGATAAAACATTAAACATAATGACTATAGACTATTATTTGAAAGTAGTTGAAGATCTACTGATGCAAATTCAAGTCACTGAAACTACATTTAATAAACCAATTTTCATAGAGTATAATTTGACAAAATATGTTTTTCACTCCATAAATAGGTGTAGGTACCGTATTTATTTTTCAATGTCACTGAGGAATTCTAGGCATATGACTTTTAAAATAAATCCTACTTGCTATGGAGTTGATTTAATTGGGTTGTTTCATTGTCATCTGATACCCATGTTGTTTCATCATGGTAATTTGTAAATGTAATCACCACTTCTTGGCTCTCCTGTCATTAATGTAGAACTTTGCTTGTGTATTCCAAATCTAGGAAGAACATTCTTCGTTTCTTAGATGCGGAACGCGATGTCTCCGTTGTCAAGAGCAGCTTTAAGCCTGGTGACGTCATACACTACGTCCTCGACAGGCGCCGGACATTAAATATTTCTCACGATCTGCACAGCCTCCTCCCCGAAGTTTCACCAATGAAAAATCGCAGGTTTAAGACTTGTGCAGTTGTTGGAAATTCTGGCATTCTGCTAGATAGTGGATGTGGCAAGGAAATTGACAGTCACAATTTTGTAATAAGGTGAGTCTTCTGTTCTCAGAGGTTGTAATTTCTTCAAGTATATTTTACTTAGGAATATAGGAATGTGACCAAAGCGCATGCATTTAGTATCACCATCAATATTACTGAGACGTTAACCAAATATTTATCTATGATATCATTTTATTTGCAATGTCTAATTTTACATTTACTCTAAAATACAAAATTAAAGTGATTTTGACATTGTAATACCAGATCATGTTATTGTAGAAAAGTACTCCCATCAGCTTCCTGGAGGCACCAAATGAAGATGCAACAGATTTAACATACAGGAAAACATTTTCTGCACACTTATGATTTGGATCTCATTGCTTATAGAAACATTATGAGTAATATGAGTTACATATATTGAAATATGAAAGAATATGTTTAAGGAGAAAAGTATGCTAAAATTGGCATTTTGGAAAACACCTGAACTCCCTTGAATAACAGTCCGGGAACAGATTTAAAAAACAAATTATCTTTGAAATAAAGCTCCAAAAGTAAAGATAATTGTGGCCACTGAGCTAAGACAATTTGCAACTTCAACATCCCGTGTGCGAGTGCCTGCTGCTTTGCTCCGATCCCACTCCTTGGTGATGTACCTTGAAAGGCAGAGGAAGATGGAGCCTCTACCAAATGCTTGGACGCCAACCATGTGAAAGGGAGACCTGGAGAGTCTGACTCCTGCCTTCAGCCTTGCTCACTTCCTGCCATGGTGACCACTTTGGGAATGCTAATCCCTGGGTGGAAGACATCTCTCTCCTTTGTTGCTGTCATTCTCTCTCTGTGTTCCTCTGCCTTTCAAATAAATAATTTTAACATAATAATTATGGATGCATTCATCATGAGCAGATAACTGCTTTATTCATCATAAAATAATAGCCATAAAAATCACTCTCTTCTGAGGTAGATATAATACATAATAGCAAATGTAACTGCAATTATCTTACCTTGCTAACTTGCAGCTCCTGTTTTGGATGCATGGTGAAAGATTGACATGAAACCCAAAGAGCCTTTTAAAAACTTGAGCCTGTAACTTGATTTCACTGTGAGAAAAACATTATCAATCATGTAGGGTTTTAAAATTCATTTATTATGATTTGAAAGGCAGATTTTACAGAGAGAAAAGGATAGAGAGAAGATGTTCCATTGGGTGGTTCACTCCCCAGATGCCTACAGTGGCCAGAGTTGACCTGATCATAAGCTAGAAGCCAGGAGCCTCCTCTGGGTCTCCCAAGCGGTTGCAGGGTCCCAAGGCCTCAGGCCCCCCTCTTCTGCTCTCCCAGGCTATAAGCGGAAAGCTGGATCGGAAGTGGAGCTGCCAGGACATGAGCTAGAATCCATAAGGGGTGATGAGGACGCAGAGTGTGGTATTAGCTTGCTGTGCCACCCCGCCTGCTCTAATTATGTAGATTTGCTAAGGAAATTGTATACAAAAAATAGATCAAACTATTTGGTAAAAAAAAATAGCAATGGATGTTGAGGAAATGAGCCTCAAATATTGAGGTCTGTGTGAAGGATGATTGTGAAGAAAATGCAAGGCTTCTAAAATTCCTGCAACAATTAAAGAAAAAGTAGAAACTGTTGCAAGGGGGATGATGTAATTTTTGATTTTTTTTTAGTCTATTTGGAAGGCAGCAAGTTTTTGTTTCTTTTTTTTTTTCTTTTCTTCTTTCCAGACAGTAAGGGAAAGAAGAAAAAGTAAGAGCAAGAGAGAGAGAGAGAGAGAGAGAGAGAGAGAGAGAACTTTTATTTTCTGATTTACTCCCCAAATGCCTATTACGAGCCAAAGCCAGGAGCTAGCGTTCTGTCAGGACTTTGCATTTTACAGAAAGGATCTGAGTTCTTGAGCCATTAGATACTGCACCCAATGCTATGCATTCTTAGTAATATGAAGTCAATTGGGAGCAAAGCTGGAACTTGAACCCGGGCATGTTCCTATGGAAGGACAGATATCCTGGGTGACATCCTAATAGCTCTGCCAAACACCTGTTCAGGAAGGGAGCTTTCATACATGTTGAATACTATAGGAAAGCAAAAGCAAAACATGACTCACTTCTTTTGCTTACATCCCTCTTACATAGTCATTAAAGCCCGGTTAAGCAGTTAGATTTATCCCAACCTCTGACTCTGAAAGGAAGGCTACTTTGACTTACTGGACTCAATTTGTATAGATTTAATTCTTTGTATTATGTCAGTTCCCAAATTATCGAGGTAGGTCATGTGGATTTTTGTCTCCCGCAAATTGGTTCCTATATTCTTTCTATGTTTTAACAGTGAATAATGGTCATCCCAGCATTACATGACAATCTTTCATTTACATTTTTTTTCTGCTACGATTCCTAGTAGATAGTTACCCTGCAATGAAACTCAAGCCCCTGTATTTGGTTTTGGCCCCCTTCTGATCCTTCAGTGCATGAAATTCTGAACTCTTGACATCTTAAGGTCATCTCCCCTTATCTAAAATTAAAGACTATCTTTTCATTCACTGGGAAGGCAGGAACAATAGAACATAAAGATTTTATGTATGAGTCATGTGTAAAAGATATCAAATTCTAAATTAGTAATACTTTTATAATAGAAGATAGTTTCCTAAGTCCCTATGTAACCAGCTTGTAAATTTTAAAAAATATTATGTAACAAAATCGCCATGGTATTACATATTTATATTAACATTATCCATGGCACTATAATTGTTTTCTATTTTGAAGGACATATTGTGCTACCACTTAGCAATTTTACACAACTAACAATTCTTAGGAAATCAGAATTCTCACCTGCTTTAGAAACAACACTAAATATTGTGGGTGTGGGTTTGTAATGGCGTCCACTTGAATCAGATATGTACCATTCTTCCCAGCTCTTATCATTTCAATGGATCATCATTTCTGGGTCAAATACATTTTCCTACCAGGAATCTTTGGACTTTAGTTACTGCTCATGAGTCTCCTACACCCTGTCAATTTCAGGATGAAAATTGAATCAAAATGTCATTCTTTCTGGAAATAACTTACTACTTATGTCAAACTACTGAATGTTATTACGGAATTTAGTTATAATTTTTAGAACATTTTACATTTCTTCGAGGTGTGCTCTGTGCCTGTGCATACAGCATGGATATGGTTGATGGACTGGCTGTGTTTCCAGCTCATACATTCATTTGTCACTTTTCCTGTTAGATAGCAAGTGTATTGATGGAGAGATAGGTCTGATCTGGCTGATATGGTTACTGATTAGCATACTGATCCCTCAAGCATCACGGTCACCAAGGTCTTTAGTTCCTCCTGACCTGTAACTTCATGAAGCAAAGGACTATTTTAAAATAAAATATTTAACAATAATTAGAATTTTAACTTAAACTTTACCTTTCCTTAGAAATCTTTGAAAACACAAAACCCTCTCTTTATAAAATATGTACCAAAATTCACTACCAAATGTCAAGAAGAATCCCTCTTTCTGCAAATAATTATTCTGTGGGTAAAAAAGTCAATGGCAGATAAGTGATATCATTTTCCCTAGTAGTGTATTTTAGAAAATGTTATTTTCATGACCATGTGAACTATCTCAAAGCTAACCTGGAAAACATCTCCGTGCAAACTTTTGCAAATCCAGAAATACACATTTCCTTTCATTCTCTTTCTTATGTGTGATGCTATTCTATTTCTGCGGTGGTTTATGTCATTCATTAATCTATTACTCTACCAATTAATCTCATTGATATCTTATTCATATAAGGGGGGCCCAGTTAATGTCATTACATGATGTTTAAACAACAAAAACAGAAGAAAATATATTAGGCATAATTTTGATTCTCCAGTTAAATATTGATCTGGTTTCCAAAATCTAGAAGTCATGCACACAGGTACCTAAATACAATAGCAGAAATATAGAATAAGACAAAAGTATTTGTTAGCAAAACTGTCTAAAATAGTTATTTAAATAGTGTTAAGGCACTATGATCAACATTCACCATAGATGTGTCCTACTTCCTGCCCAAGAAAACAAGTACGTGACTCCGAGATCAGCAAACACTGCACTGCCAAAATGAAGCTTGGCTCAAGTAGAAAATTAAGGGAAGTCAATCATGACTCAGGTTGAGAATAACTCACTTCCTGAATTTCAGATCACTCCAATGAGGAAGATTCATTAAGGCTGGGAAGCCTTGTGATGTTCTGTAGTTCCAGGAGAGTACAATTTTGATGAATTTGATTTACAGTTTGGTGCGTCATCTCTCATTTGCTTCAGAAAATAACCAAAAGGAAGAGCTATAGGGAAAGATGATTTTAATATTACTTTGTGGAGCTCTTTCTTCAAAGATGGTTTGGGATGCTGAGTAAATTGGATGTGCCTTCTGCAAGCTGCCCAAGACCAATTTCCCTCGTTGAGACTCATCGTCAGTTAGGGGAAGCATGGGGTGTGATTTGTACAAAGGAATTTTGTTGCAGGTGTCATTTTATTTCCAAGAGTCTACTTTCTCTTGTTAGGATAGCATCTGCTATCTTCAGGTCACATCGGTGTCTTTGGACCTGTTATCGAGAAAGGCGTAACTTTAGGCTTTTGTTTTGTTAAAAAGTAAAAACACCTCTGTATACTGTTTACTGCTGATGCACTTCTAGCAGGAAAAGCCTAAGTTACCTAAACATTTTACAAACATTAAATAGTTTTAGGTTAATACTTATAGTGTCAGGGTATATTGAAAAATCCAGAAGTAATTCCATAAAATTTGCCAGCTAAACAAATTCCATTTTAACTGAAATTCTGCAAATGGAAGCATGTTGGTTTCATGCTATTGTTGTATTCATTTAAACAGAAAAAAAATTTTAAATAAATATTGCTTCATCAGATAAATGAATAAATTCTTACTTTGTCATAATCATACAGTAGTGTTTATGAAAGCTAACATTTGGGTAGTCATGAATAGTACCACGTTGTAAGGAAGTACTGCCTTGTACCTTTCAGGGATGACCAATTAAACAAAAAAGTCTTTGAAGACACATAAT